TTATCCTGGACCGAGGTCCCCTCCCGTTCTTCGGGAGTCAGCGGCCTGGATGCCGAAGCCGCGCTTCAGCCAAAGGTACTGGCCTCAGCTGAATCCCTAGGTGGACGGCTGGACAAAGGCACTACCCTCAAGCCAGCGCCACTTGAAGTGGCGGCCTGCGCGGCCCCAACATTAGGGTTTTGGCCGCTAAGAGGAGGCATCATCGCCAAAGGGCGATTCCGCCTCAGAATTAGCTGCGGCACTTCCTCCTCTTCCTCCTCGGCACTCGACTCGGGCCTAATGGGCTCTTTTCCGCGGTCGCCGGACATTTTCAGTTGGCGGAGGTTCGAAAAGTGCGAAAAAAGGGAAAAAAGGAAAAATATTTCGAAAAGCAAAGAAAACCGAAGCGAATTGTTAGAAAATTACCTTCTTCAAACTCGGAATTCGCCGATCTACAAGTTTGGAGAATCGGATTTTGAGTTTAGGGCTTCGAATTGCAAGAAAACAGCGAAAGAAAAATTAAGGCGTTGCGCGAGTTTGGGAGACAATAGGATTTTGAGTAGCGAAATGAAGATTAAGGGAATTCGAAACACTCTTGAGTATGTTCTTGGATTCAGTTTCCGGAATTTAAGAGGTATTAACCACCCACTAAGCACTATTTCAACTCGTGGCTACTCAAATTCTTCCCACTTAATTGCAACCGCGAAAATTAACTTCCCATTAAATTCTTTCCACTTCCCCATTATTCTTAATTAATTGTCATTAAGGTTAGTTAAGTATAAATTAACCGTTAAAAACCGTGCAAATTCCTCAAACAAAATTCAAATTATTTTCATTTATTTCCCTCCAAGTCTCTCGGCAGCTGAAAACCCGACCCGTTATCCTCACGAATCGGATCTGGGGGGCAAGTTGTTTGGGGTCCAAATAACTTGTATTTGGGCCCACTCCACAAATGAAAATAAACAAAGCCCAATAGGCAAGGTCCAATCCTCTGGCCCATGTGCCAAGTTATGCCAACGAAGCCCAGTCAAATGGCAGCCCATTTGACTCCTCAAGCCCACTCCATTCAATTGGAGCAAGGTATAAAAGCTCACACTTATGCAAATTCACATTCATTCACTCATATTGCCTCAAGCAACTAAACTCTCTTGCATAGCTTTTCTCTCACCATTTGACAATTGTACTGACTTCGGCATCGGAGGGGCCTTCCTCGGACAACCCTAGAGGCCAGTTTACGTTTGTTTAGCTGTGCAGGAAATCCTCAGTTCGGTCATCACTCGAATTGGGCTTCGTCTCCACTCATCCGAAGGACCTGCCGAAGGTCCCATTGTTTTTACTGAAACATCATCTTTTAAATAATTTTTTTTCCCAATATTCTAAATTTCCAATTTTTTTTTCCTATGATCTAATTTTTTTTTTCCCAATGTTCTAATTTTCTATGTTCTAAATTTTTACTATGTTGCAAATCATTTTCTTATGTTCCAAATTTATCCTATGTTCTAAAGTTATTCGTTTATTCTACACCTATGTTCTAAAGTTTTTTCTACCTATATTCTAAAGTTTTTTTTTCCTATGTTCTAATTTTTTTCTACCTATGTTCTAAAGTTTTTTTTTCCTATGTTCTAAAGTTTTTTTTTTCCTATGTTCTAAATATTCTTTTACCTATGTTCTAAATTTTTTTTTCCTATGTTCTAAATTTAGTCTACTTATGTTCTAAAGTTTTTTTTTTCCTATGTTCTAAATTTAGCCACACTAACTACTCACAAACACTTATACAAATCAAATTGACTTGAGAATTTAATAACTCATCAATTAAATTTATATCTACAAATTTTTATTTAATATAATACTCCGTTAATGTAACTATGCAAATGAGGTTAGAGCTACCAATGGAAATCCACTGAAAGTCCTGTGCTCCATAACATCCATAGTGCTTGTTATGCCTTAATTTACTGTTTGGCATGATAATATAATACTGATTTGCAAATAGTTGGGATTTCCTTACCTATTTAGATGAATTCAAATTACAATAATACTTCATTACTTAAGCATTTAACTAGATATGCATGCTCTTCACTCCCTTTTTAGACAAATAATTCACTATGTTGCTTCAGGTCTCAGCTAAAGACACCCATATGGCAAACATGTTGTTGAACTATGTGCCCGTCTATGCAATGTAACCAGTAAGCCTTAATTAATCAGCATTCAGCACAAGCATTTCCTTAAGTAAGTCACACAACAAATTAAAGCAGCAGTGTAATGCCTAATTTATTTACTTGTTTTGTGGCAACAGTTGGGGGTAGTTACGCCAGATAACAACTTTTAGAATCAGGATGACATTAAGAGGCAATTATACAAGCTGGAAAACAATGGATTATATGATCATCACACAAAACCCTCGACAACTGCCAACATCACCAAGCTTTTCATTCCTCTGCCACCAATCACACCCAATAACAACCATAAATAACTAAAAAATGGCACAAAAATAGCACAACAACGACACCAACAATAAAAAAAAAATGGCTCAAAAATCGCCCAACAAAAAATCTTACATAAATCGCACAAAAAATGGTAAAATGAAAAAAAATTAAACAATAATAATCAAGAGTAGCGTGATAATAAACTTTAACTCATGCGAAATTTATGAGAATCAAATCAAAAAATCGCAAAAAACAAATCGCAAAAAATCAAACCACAAAAATCGAAATCGAAAAATCTGAAAATCGAAAAATGATAATAAACTATAACTCATGCGAAATTCATGAGAATCAAATCAGAAAATCGCAAAAATCGCAAAAAACAAATCACAAAAATCGCAAAAAATCAAACCACAAAAATCGCAAAAATGAAATCGAAAAATCTGAAAATCTACTTGAACATCATGCGAATTTCATACAAATCTGAGCAAAATCGAAAAAAAGAAACCATACCTGATTTGAAACTCCTTTAAATTGTAACTTCTATGAAGATTTTTGGGATGAAGAGAGAGAAAGTCATGAATGTATACGAAGAGAGAGAAAGTTAGAGTTGCTTTTTTTTAAGTGTAGGAAAGATTAAAATTCATTTTATTTTGTTTTATCCTAACAGCTCATCCTAATTTGATCCTACGGCTGAGATTGGTTCTTATATAACTAGGGTTCTTATATAAGGAGGGGTTCTTACCGAATCCCTCCCCTATATATATATATATATATATATATATATATATATATATATATATATATATATATATATATATATATATATATATATATATACTATATATATATAGTAAGAACCCTCCTTATATAAGAACCCTAGTGGGTACATAAGAACCAATCTTAGCCGTACGATTAGATTGAAATAGACGCTCTAGATTAAGAGAAAGCAAGTAATGGAATTATAGTAAACACGAAAACTGACAACCTACATATATATACCCCAAATTTTCTCTCTACTCAAACATAACCCTCTCTTCCTAGAGTTCCTACCACACTCTCTCTCCTAAAACCCCCAAATTTACTTCGAAAATTACCAAAATTGTTGCTATTTGAAGGAAATTCCAAGGATTTTTTATTATAATTTTCACTCAATTTCAACAAAAATTATTGTTCATAGCATAAACTTGCATTAAACAAGTTTAATTGAGCAATTGATTTGCAAATTTTGTAATTTCGAACCCTTGTTCGATGCATTAAACAAGTTTAATTCAGCGATTTTAATGTTCGAATTTCAGCAATTTTAGCGTTTGAATTTCAGCAATATGAGGTAATTTCACCGCTACTCTTTATTATTAGATAATTTCAGTCCATTTTTTTCGATTTTTTTTTGGCGTCATTTTTGGTGAGTGATGGTGGAGGTTGAGGGTGAGTAATGGTGGTGCGGTGGTTAAAAGCAGCGTGGGGTGCTGCTGAATGGTGATTTGGTGGTGCGCGGCTGAGTCTGAGTCTATTGAGGCACTACAAAGGGACAACCGTGTTGTTGTCCAGTGCCCAGTAGTGGAGGTACGATCAACTGGGCCAATGCTACGATTGTTTGGGTGGATATTGGTAAGCTCCAATTGTGATTAGTGCAAATGTGGTGGTCGAAGCGACGACCGGAAATGGATGTGGCAATGGGAAGAGGTTAAGGGAGGTGGAGTTGTTGACCATGGAGTCAAGTAACAAGAAGCAGATGGTGGTTGTTTCCTTGTGACATCTAATTAATTGATTTTGTTTGTTTTTTTAATTATTCTAGTTCATTAATTGTTTAATGTGGAGATACGTGTAGGATGCAGGTGGTGCAAGTTGCAATATGTAAATTAGTATAACAACCCACAAAAAAAAAACCATGAACAAGAAAGAAAAAATACAGCTGAAGAGAGCTGGTTATGTTTTTATGTAAACTTTGAAGAAAAAATTACAAAAAAAATAGTATGAAAGGAACGAAAGTTCAAAAACAATGGGAAAACTGTCCATCCTTCTTTATGTGCATGATATGTCAATCAAATTTTTAGATCATAGGAAAAAATTTAGAACATAGGCAAAAGAAAAAAAAAATTAGAACATAGGAAAAAAAAAAGTTTAGAACATAGGGAAAAGAATGTTTAAAACATAGGGAAAAAAAAAATTAGAACATAGGTAGATAAAATTTAGAACATAGGAAAAAATTATAACATAGGTTGAAAAAATTTAGAACATAAGTAGACTAAATTTAGAACATAGTGAAAAAAAAATTTAGAACATAGGTAAAAGAATATTTAGAACATAGAAAAAAAAAACTTTAGAATATAGGAAAAAAAAACTTTAGAACATAAGTAGACTAAATTTAGAACATAGGCAAAAGAATTTAGAACATAGGTAAAAGAATATTTAGAACATAGTAAAAAAAAACTTTAGAACATAGGTAGAAAAAATTTAGAACATAGGGAAAAAAAACTTTAGAATATAGGTACAAAAAACTTTAGAACATAGGTAGAAAAAACATTAAAACATAGGTGTAGAATATACAAACAACTTTAGAACATAGGAAATATTTGGAACCTTAGAAAATGATTTGCAATATAGTAAAAACTTAGAACATAGGAAATTAGAACATTGGGGAAAAAAATTAGATCATAGGAAAAAAAATTGGAACATATGAAAAAAAATTTAGAACTTAGATAGAAAAATTTACTACTACATTTTTTATCTAATGCAACGGCGAAGACGGAGCTAATACAACGGCTCTACTATTATTAGACAAGGCTAATACAACGGCATCATGTTAATATATCAAACACTGGGCTAATACAACGGTTTTAAAAAACCGTTACATTAGGCCAGCTAATCCAACGGCTCATTTTGGCTAATCCAATGGCAATATTGCCTAATCCAACGGCAAAATATCTAATACAACGGCACTGTTTTTGTATAGGCGCCAAAACGAAATTTCCATTTATTAACTTCCCTCCTCATTTTTCCCCAAATTCATCTCACTACGCTCGCAATTACCCAGAAGATAACTCATTTTCCCCTAATTTTCATTTTTAGCTAGCTCTGTCTATATTCCCACGCCCTTCAGTTCCTCATTTTTCCCAATTCAGTGCCCAGCTTTGTTCACAAATTCACATTTTTTTTTCCTAATTCTCTCTCTTCTTCCTCTTCAAATGGTAGATTAGGCGAATTGAAGGAAGGCGCTGGCGGTAGCGGTGGTGGTGGCTGATTGTTCGACTCTTGCATGTGACAAATTTCCTCGGATCTTTAAGGTATACCTCAATTTGCTCGAATCTCTGGTGCCTTTGTGATTAGGGTTTGTGTTAATTGAATTTTGTCTTTGTGTTTATGCCGGTGAATGGTTTGGTTTTACTTTTTTCGGGTTTATGTCAAATAATAGACAAAGGAGTATATAATGTGGGTTTGAAATTTTCTGGGTTTGAATTTTTGTACAGTATAATTGTGTCATTATTTATGCACCACTCTAATCTCCCTATTTTACTTATGAACCCTCCTCCTTCCCTTTCTTTACATAACAGATAATTTATAGTTTTTCAATTGATAACAATTGAATACTATTAACCTATGTAGAGAGGGTCCTGAAATATATACTTGCCCTTTATGGAATTTTCAGGAATCTAAAGCTTTGTTTTAAGCTTACACATGTCTGCTCTCTCATCTTCAAGCTTTAACTTTAGCACGACTTGAATCTATCTTCTCTAATTTTCATATTATTAATTTGAATCAAGGTCTTATGAATTTGCAGCGCTCAAATTAGGATTTTGAAAAAGGGACTGAATTGAACAACAGAAAAGGGATAGATTTTTTACTTTTCAAAATACCGAAGTATGGAACACTCTATCTGTTATCTACTGTACAACTTACTACTAATTAAAACTCGAGCTTCAATGCTAGCGCAAATACACTCTTGCTTGCATCTTCTGTTTTGGTTCAATTGATCCCACATTTGCAGGGTCATGTTACACCGATTAGCTTTTACCTCACACTTAGGCCAAAACAGTTAGGATATGCCAGCCTTGTTTCTAAACCTCAAGAGTGTATTATCAATCAGACGCTTATGCACAAGCAAAAAGGATCAGAAACTGTGTTACTTTTATGGCCAGTGATCAGCTTAACCAAAATTGATCACAAAACAATTTCAACCACACTAAATAGGTTCAATAGGATAATAATTCTATCAATGTGTTTATTGAGGGGTTCTTTCTCAAAAACTATTCCTCATCCTACTATAAATGTAACATTTTCAAAACAATGTTAATACTCCCTACACTAAGTTGATGACCCATTGATTTACTTTGATTTTATATAGATTTCTGGTTATAAATTTACACAATTGAAATATGGGTTTGAATTTTTGTAGGTGAAGATAAAAAAGGACTTAAGATAAATAGAATAAGGTGTTGAACAATTGCCGGCAGCACAAAGGGTTTTTTATCTTTAAGTTGCCTTGGTAAGCCTTTTTAAAATTTAATTATATCTAAAATTTTCATAATGTGAATTGGATATGATTTTCACAACCAAATTTTAGAAATTCTTCTCCCAATTTCTGCCAGAAATTAGTTAGGCTCTTATAATTAGTTTTCATTTTGGAAATTAATTTTGTTTTGATTGAAGGGTAGGGTAATGGGGGTAATTTGTTTGTGTTTTGGATCGATTATGTCTATGATCTCGTGTTCTTGTTAAGCCTTACAAGGAGAAGAGCAAAATTCCTAACAACAAGTAAATGTTTTGTTTCATGGTTATCGACTTATCAATGCTGAAAGTATGGGTGTTTAATCGAATTCCATTGTTTGTTTGATTGTATGTAGGAAGTAACATCAACAACAGATATAAAGGCGAGAGTTTTCGTAGTTTCCGAGCCCGTTTGGGCATGATTGTAGAGATCCTTATGAGTTTCAGCTTTGGTGAGTTGGTTTAACTGTTTAAGATATTGATATAACTTTGATTGTGGCAATGTATAGTAGCTTAGTTATAACTTTGATCTTTTAAGGTATACCTCAATTTGCTCGAATCTCTGGTGTCTTTGTGATTAGGGTTTGTGTTAATTGAATTTTGTCTTTGTGTTTATGCCGGTGAATGGTTTGGTTTTAATTTTTTCGGATTTATGTCAAATAATAGACAAAAGAGTAAATAATCTGGGTTTGAAATTTTCTAGGTTTGAATTCTTGGTTTGAATTTTTGTACAGTATAATTGTGTCATTATTTATGCATTTTTGAGGAGAAATCAGTTGGTATGGGTAAATTAGTTTATAGGTGTTTTTTTGTCAGTAATGGTGATGCTGTTCTCATTTAGTCCAGCAAATTTTCTGATTCTCCCACAAATTGGTTGCTTTAAATAAATTCCAGGAAAATTTAGCCATTGAATGGAATTGAAAGTTCTATTGTACCATTATTATGCTAAACCGAGATATTAAAACTTACTAGTGTTTTGTTTTAAAGGGAAATTTTTGTTAGTAAGAAGTGATACAATATCTAAAGTATGCTGCCCCTAAAACTTTAGGATACTTTAAGTTTGATTGACATGAATGTGTACAGTTGGCCTTTAGCTTTACATTATTATTAAGCTCTAATTTTTGTTTATTGTTTAGCTTTTATTAGGCAAACCTTTGGTGGTAGAAATTTTTTGTGATTATTAGTATGTTACAGCTAGTATGTTAGACAACCTGAGATTATAAACCTATTGGGTTTATTTCATAAGTAGAATTTGAAACAATGAATGGAATATATTATCCCATCTTATTTTAAATTACTAAATTATGTATTACTCTAGGCAGAATTATGAACATTAAAGTTACCAATTGTACTTGTAATGTGCTACTGAGTATTATACATCTTGTTTATCAATAATTGACAGGCCTTGTTCTTTTAGATGTTGGTGTTGTTGCTACTTGTGATGCCGCCACTCGTGCTGTTAATTGCTTGATACAAAAGTATATATTTTTATTTGCAAAAAAACATGTTTATTTATATTGGAGTCATTGAGATAAGCCTACAACTTGAAATGGAGCGTACCATAGCAAGGTTGAATGATGAGCTAGGATTTTCTACCCCAGTTATCTCTCTTTCTCTCTGCTCCCACTCTTTTTTCATATATAGTCCTGTTCAAAGTTCCACGTTCCTGGCTACCAATTGTACCTTGTTGATACATTTGACTTGCTTTAAGCCAATGATAATGCATACATCTATTCTAATGACTCTTTGGTATTATGGACAGTCTTGTCTCAGTTGGAAATTTAGAAGCTGCAGTTAGTTTATTACTATCCACTTCCCCTGAAAGCCATTACTTCTATGCAAACGCGCTGCGTGCAGTTGCCCTCGCTTCTGCTGTGTCAAAGTCTCTTCTTGAACTTGCTGTTAAGGTATAGCAACAGTTTCGCATTGAATTAAACTGTATGTTTCCTATGGGTCTATGTGTACTCTAATCACTGTCACCTTTATCTAGGTTGTTGCAGCTAAACTATTGTCTGGCACTCATCTTCTTTGTGCTGTTGGAAGGCATCAAGAAGCTTGTTCTCAGGCCAATTTTCTCCCCTTCTTAGGATAGCCATAGAAGGGTAAAAAGGAACAAAATTGTGTATTCAAATTAATTTAAACGAAACTCAGTCAAGAATAGTGGGATAGGGGAAGTAGGATGACCACTTATTGCGGTGCATAGGATGGGTGCTTCCTCATATTCGTCCCCCTAGGCTTCTATGTGACTCTCAGGTAGTCTGACTATTCTATGCTGTGTGGCTTCGGTCCATGAGACCATGATGATTTTGCTGTGCTTTGAGCAGTTAAAAATATAATTACCACTGTTATTTTACAGTGCTGCAGAAATACATTAAGTAGACTTCCGTTGCTGCATTTCCAGTAGGACTTGTGCAAAAACCACTTGGCCTCTAGTCTATTAAGTGCCTTAATCAAGAGGAGACAAGTGCTGCTCGAGTGTAGCTTATTGCAGTACTGTTTGTGCTCTGTGGCTGTTGATAAGTTTTATTTCAGACAAATATAATGGGTTGCTCTTAAAATTTGTGTGATGATCTACTAAAAATCTAAGCCAAATTGGAAGATTATGTGCGACTCATGTGGGATTTTGGTACTTTGCCAGGAAATTCTCAGTTTTCTCATCATTTTCTCAGCTTATAATCTCTATATATTGTGTATTAATTTCTTTTATTTTTACATATAGGTGCATGGCGAGCTAGATGGAGGTGAATGAAGTACAATGATTATATATTGTCATCCAACAAATGGAGCGTACACGTCGGTGACTAATTTTATTTAGTTCGAGCTTGTGAAGATTAGGATTTGTATTTTGGACGATTTTTAATTAGTAAACTTTTATTATTTATTATTAGTTAGTATCGGTAGTGTAACATATATATGGAAACAATATTTTGTAATGTAACGTACATATTATATATACTTCGTTTATTGTTATAAATATATTGATATATTTTATATTTATTGTTACCTTTTAAATTTAAACTAACTAATAAAATATATATGTATTCCCTCAAAAAAATATAATACACCGTTGCATTAGGTGAAAATACACCGTTGTATTAGGTGACATATACCGTTGTATTATGTGACATATACCGTTGTATTAGGTGACATATACCGTTGTAGTAGGTGGAAAATACCGTTACATTAGCCTTGTCGTTGGATTCGGTCTATAGATCATGATTTTGTTGCATATTCATCTAATACAACGACAGCCAAAATGCCGTTGGATTAGGTATCAAGCTAATACAACGGCATGTACCTAATCCAACGGCATATTGGCAGCCGTTGTATTAGATGCAATAAGCCGTTGTATTAGGCTTAATACAACACCAGCTGATGTAACGGTATACAGGCGTTGGATTAGGTCTAATACAACGGTTTTTAACACTTAATACAACGAAATTTGCCGTTAGATTAGATCAAAAATGTAGTAGTGTTAGAACATAGGGTGAAAAAGTTTAGAACGTAAGAAAACTATCTAGAATATTAGAAGAACAAAAATTAGAACACGGGTATAAATTGTTGAATTTACCAACTCTCCCACATTGGTGGGAGATTGGAAATCAAGGGTCCATTTCCCTATAAATACCAAGGCATGGGTATTAGGAATGGACACACTTGAGTGGAATTAAAAAGGCAACTCTTGATTTGAGTAAACCATAAATTCGTAAAACTCTTAGTTTTATTTGTTTGGGTCTCGACTAACCTTCGAGGCTTAGGACGCTCGGGTCGGGTTCGAGGGTGCGATCCCGTCGGAGACCTCGTATTTTCGGGGTTCAAGTAAGAGCTCATAGTTGAGCGAAGCACGCGTCAAAGGTATAATCTTTTATCCTTTCTTGTGTTTAATTATGTTTTGCTTGTTAATTACATTTATTATGGGGGCGGGTCTTGGCAGGTTTCATTCCGCATAGTGTGGGTCACTACGAAACCCTACAGGTACTGTTTGGAGGCGTCTGGTTTCAAAGGTTGGGGCTGCTTTAATTGGTCCGCGTCTGGGAAGCTATTTAGGAGGTCTTCAGTTTGGTGTTGGGGTGCCGGCGGGTGGTGAGGCTATTCTTCATGTTGTTAATCGATTAGTTGAGGCTCGTGGTGGTGATGTTGGCCTCTCAATGTTGCTGGTGGATTTCCAGAATGCCTTTAATTTTGTTGACCGTACGGTTTTGTTGCGTGAGGTTCTTCTCCGTTGCCCTGCTCTCTCACGATGGGTTAAATTCTATTACTCTACTCCAGCCAGACTGTTTTATGGGGAGCATATCTTAAGTTCATGTCAAGGAGTGCAGCAGGGTGATCCTCTTGGCCCTTTACTTTTTACTTTGGTACTCCATCCGTTAGTGTGCCCTATTAGGGATTCTTTCGACTTATATTTGCAGGATTGGTATTTGGATGACCGGCACTATTATTGGTGACACCTTGGTGGTAGGAAAGGTTATGGAGTTGATTTTGGTGGAGGGGCCTCGTCTCGGACTCCATGTAAACGTTGAGAAAATGGAAGTTTTCTGGCCCACGGAGGACCCTCGTAGCCGTCTGGTCGGTGTCTTTCATGCTGATATTGCTCGTCCTGTGCATGGAGTTAAGTTGCTTAGTGGTCCTGTCAGTGTGGATTCCTCTTTCTGTGGTGAGCTTGTTTCGCAGAGAATGTTAAGACCATTGTGCTAATGGATGTTGTTGCTAAGCTTGATGATCCCCAATGTGAGTTGTTACTACTTCGTGTGTGTATTGGGGTTTCAAAACTCTACTTTTCTATGCGCACTTGTTCTCCTCGTCTTTTTAAAGCGGCCCAGATTTCTTTTGATATGGCCCTTCGAGCTTCTTTGGAGCGCATTGTAACTGCTTCGGGGCCAGGTTTTGGTGATTGGCAATGGTGTCTTGCCACCTTACCTTTTTCTTATGGTGGATTGGGTGTCTATTCAGCGGGTGATGTTCGGCACTATGCTTTCCTTGCGTCGTGTTTGCAGTCTTCTAGTCTTCAGGCTACGCTTCTTTGCAATTCTGGTATTGTTGGTCCAGGACCGGCCTTCGATTTGGAGCTCTTAGTCTTTTTAATAGGACTGTGGAGACTGACCTTATGCGTAACCCTAGTGAGATCGTTGCCCCCAAACTCATGAAGAAATTGGCAGATATATATTTTACGAAGGTCATTGCATCTGTAGCATCCACTTTCTCCTTATCTCCACGTCAAGTTGCCTTATGGAAGTCCCAACAGGGGGATCACACTTCTGCCTGGTTGCGAACGGTCCCGATATCAGGTTTGGGTCAGACTATGAATGGTAAGACTATACCGTTGTGTTCTTTGCTACCGGTTGGGTGTTCCTTTGTTCTCCGTTTCGACACCGTGTTCTGCTTGTTCAAGGGTTTTTGATGGGGATATTTATAGGGATCATGCAGTGTCTTGTACTGGGATGGTGGGTATTAAATATCGGCACAACGTTCGTTGTTCGTGACACCCTTGTTGATATTTGTTTTTGGTCTAAGATTTTTGCACGAAAGGAGGTTAACGTTGGGTTGACTGGAGGGAACGACGGGGCTCTTCGACCAGCAAATGTGTTGCTTTATTACTGGGATAGAGGTCTTGATGTATGTGTTGACTTGACGGGGTCTTCTCCTTTGACTCAATCTGGGTTGTCTGACTTCGTTCCTAGTCGTGTTGTGTCGGCTGCGGCTCGGCGGAAGCAGGATAAGTATGGGGCGCATTGCAAGGCTATTGGCTATGGTTTTCTTCCTTTCTCCTTTTCTTCATTGGGGGAATTAGAGAAGGATGTTGTTGCGTTGCTGAAGCGGGTTCAGGCGTTCGCTAGGACTCAGGATATTGGTGCTCGTGCAGCTGCTCTCTCTTCAACAAGATCGGGTTCGTTATAGCTAAAAGGGTGGGGACCCAGGTTGTATCTCGGCTCCCCACTAATTTCTTGTAAATCGATTGACTTTGTAATAATAATAATAATATTGGAGAAGAATTAAATCAAGAAGAAATTCCTGAAAACAATTATGTTAATAATGTCGTTCCAAGGCAAAGGTATAGAGGAGAGTCAAGTTATAGAAGACCTAGATATATTGCAATAAGAGATATTCAATATGGTATTAAGGTCATGCCTAATGAAGTCCGAAAAAAAGAAGAAATCAATCTTGAACTTATAAGTCAAACTGGTTATAAGCTAAACTTTGATGGAGTAAGAAATAGAGTCGATGTCCTAGAACATTGGAAGAAAAGTATGAGCAGTATCCTTAATCTCAATACTGAATAGACATCAGAAAACTTTTTAAATTACATAGAATACAGTTTCTATGGATGTGTAGCTAATTAGTATGAGACCTTAGGCATAGAAATTAAACAAACACTAAGGCAACTAGAATTAGGCTATGTTTCTACAACTTGTCGATTCATAGAAATTGAATTTATTGGCTACAAAGCTGATGAAAATGAAAAGGTACTTGAATATCAAAGAAAGCTAGTTAACCTGACAATTTGTAATCTAAAATATGTTAAAGGTTATTTACTGAGTTTGAGACATATTATACAAAATTGGTGAAAATGGAGCCAATCTAGGAATGTTCTATGATAAACTACCTAGCCCCATTAATGAAGAAATAAGTGAAAAATATGAAGAATGGAAGACTGATCATGGTATTGTGGATAGTTTAGGTATAAGAATAACGTTTTTAAGAAAATGGATCGAAAAGAAATGCAGAGAAGTAACGGGAACACAACAAGTTAAGAGACAATTTTTAACTTATTGGGATATGCCTAGCCAATATGGTTGTTCAAAGAATAATTATGCTAAAAAGAAATTTCATAGAAGAACACAGTTTGATAAAAACAGAGGTGAGCAATATAAGAAAAGGCAGCGCATTAGAAGCACAAATATAAAAGCCCAAGTAGATTTTTCAGGAAATCTTCATATTGCCCTAAAAAGAAAAGAAACTGTAAATGTTGGTCATGTGGAAAAATAGGTCATTATGCTAACGAATGAAAAAAAGGAAACCTTAAGTTAATGCAAACCCTAGGAAGCTGGTATTACGTAATAATCACAGAATATGAGGCCTTAGAATTAGCATTAACTAATAATAAAGGGGTTGTAGAAGTCACTGAAGATGATGATGATGAGAGTAATGAAAAAATTACGATTATAACTCAAGAATAAAGTGAGCATGAAGAAATTAATGAGATGAGAGAAGAGTTTGATGATCTAGTAGAATCTGAAAATGAAGAAAACAGTGAAGGAAGAACAACACTAGGTCAATTACAAAATGCCGAATATACCATAAATGATAAAGACTTAGAAGAAGGAATAAAAATAAACAAGGATGAAACATCCCAACCATCACAAAAGAAAAAAACATTTGGAATATCACTTCTTAATCTAAAAATAAGGAAAAAATACGTTTGCGAAGAGATGGAAGGTAGCATGGTCATAGAAGACTGTGAAAAGAAAGCTAATCTTATTAATATGATAAATTTGAATAATATTGAAAAACATATTATGGAGAAAGACTCAAAAGGAGACCTAAAAGAATATATCATTTTATTTGTATTGGAGCAATACAAGTTTACATAACTCCATTACAAGATTTTGGCAAAAATATTCAATGTCTAAGTTTTGTATGTGATATGAGACATAAAAATTTTGAAGATCAGGTAATAATTGGTATAACTTGCAACCTTAGTTAGGGAATGGTAAGTTATATTTGTGAACCAAGGTTTTATGTGAGATTACAAGATGCACATATTGAAAGTCCATTAGGCATTAAAATTATGACAGAGGGAATAAATATGCAAAAGGGAAGTAGACCAATACAATTAAGGTGGAAGATCATATACAAATTATCTAGTACAATCGATGTTCATCAAAAGAAACAACAAGTTGTTGAGGCTCATTATTATGAGAATGGAGGAGCATTTGAACCAATCAAAGTTGATCTTAGTAACACAAAACTAAAAACATCTTGGCTCGAAGAACTAATGA